CATAGATACATATATATACATATATATACATACATACATACATACATACATACATACATACATACACACACACATATATATATATATATATTTGTATATAAACAAAATTTCGTGGCTATATATATACTCATTAGATCTACAAACAAACATACATACACATATGTACATCAGGCATCCGGACCACAACGCGCATGATAGTTCAAATAAATCTACAGGTACTAACCTCGTCAGAATGTCGGTCGTTAGATGCAGATCACATACATCATGACGGCAGACAAACTCAAGGTTGTTAGTGATAGACGCATCGCATTCGATGAAACCCGCCCCGCTCTCTATTGCAATCTAGGGCAATTATGCGATAGGTGTACATGCGTATTAGCGGAGCACTATATAATCACGCTAGAGAGAGACATACATTGTTAGGATATGAAATTGGTACTGAGATAATAGATATACAGTCAGCAAGCAAATAAGTATAATCGATGGCAACCTAGAGAAAAATAACAACGGACGATCGGAGGCAAGCTACAGATGAGAATATTTGAATTAAGACAAAGTCAGGCGCAAGTGAACTAGTGCGGGAATTTCACACACATAACACCGTTCGCATACAACACAGTAAAGTATTGCTTTGGAGATACCGATTATCACACAATCCCCTGAGTTATCCGCGGTGAGCAGTCGATAGGCGGAAATGACGACACGACGAGCAGTCACACCGACGATACAAACTAGAATACAACCAAGAATACAAAGAAAAAGGGTAGCAAAATGGTAGGTCGATTATAGGACAAGGGTTGTGGTTGACATCAGTATCATACAATGCTTTCATCTCTGAAACCGTTTGATATATGTATACACACAGACAGTGTATGTGTGTATAAGACTGTATTAGAAGGCTTATATTCATGTATATATTGTTTACATGTGTACACTAGTAGTAAGTATACATCTATGCGAACAAGTAACTATATACAAATGGAAGCATGTATGTACATGTATACGTATTTATTGTTTAGATACCTGAAACGACCTGTACGTTTCTTCAACCGCTACCAGAGCTGCCCCGCGATGTCCTATAGTGTGGAGACTTTTTTTGAGTGGATGTTCGCAGTTTGCCAATTCACTCCTCAACTCCACCACGGTCGCAAGTCTGTCTGGGTACGAGAGAAGCGATAGAGCTGCTTGTGAGAAATAATGGAAAAATAATTGCAGTTAAGGAATGTAGCAAACCAGACAAGGGTCGAATTCACAATTAAAGCATCTACCACTAGCGTGTATGTGTTAAGTGTTTGTGCGATAGCAGTGATGTCGGTTGACACAATTTGCATACTAACACAATTGATGTTAGCTAGCCTGCATCAGAATTGACACTCAGCGCAATATATAAACCACGCTATGAATCGATATTGAATTTTCAAAATATTGACAGTGGGCGAGCCAATCTATTGTACTGAGTCGTTGCCAGGCATTTAATGATGGCAGGTATATATATTTCCAAACAAGCTAGTCGAATATTATATGCCTCCCTACCCAACAATACTTGTTTAGTGAGATATACGAATCTTGGAACATTCTCATAAATCATCATAGTATACACCCGTATCCGTATACATATATTAATTTGCTTCAAAAGAAATAATCCGGTTGACATAAAGAATGGTTCACGTCTGAAGTGCATTAAGTGCAATAAATCTATAAATCATTGGCGAATTTTCCATACCTCTCTTGACATTGTGTGTCGTTGGCGGGGGTAGTGGTCCAAGGGCACTCCACTGCATCAGTATGAAATAACCGCTCAGTGAGCCAACCAGGCACATCGTTCAGTGCATGCACGGCTGCTAGTGCTACAGAGGCACTTTTTTCCAGATACATGGTTTGCTTTTAATTTTCAATTTTAGCGACTAAACATAGATATAAGGGTGAGGATATATATAT